TCAGGCGCAAGGGGGTCAGTTTGAGTCCCGGGCGGATGGAGAGGGTTCGGACGCCGTTGTGAGTGCTTTGTTTTTTTGATCAGGGGTGAAGGGTGGGATCTAACCGCGATGTAGGCTCCCGCATCGGCCGCTGCATCCGACCTACAACCGGGTGCACGCGCTGATCTTGACGTGGTCGTTCCATGACCTCCGCGCGGCGCCGTACACGGCCCCTCCGACGCCGGACTATGTGTCGCTGGAGGATGAGACGCGCCGGCTCCGCGGTACGCTCGAAGGGTATGGCTACGACGTCGAGGCTTTTGACATACCGATGCGCCGGTCGACGCAGGCTATTCAGAGACGGCTCGACGAGTTTTGCAAGCTGGCGGCAGATGATACCCTCCTCATCGTGTACTACCATGGCCACGGGAGTCTGGATGACGACAACGAGCTGGTCTTCAGCAGGTGAGTCTCCCATCCTTCCTCTGAACCAGACAGGACTGACACACCCCAGCCACGAGCACCCCGCCAACCCCGAATGGGCGCAAGCCGCCGCCGCCGAGCTCTACGCCGCCTTGCTGAGCGGAAACACATGCACCCACAGCCGCGGCGACGGCTCCAAGTTCCAGCAACTCAAGAAGAAATAGTACGTCCCTGCCATCCCCCGCCCGGTCGCACTGCTAACACCTCCAGCGAACGCTACCGCCCCGTCTCCGACTTCAAATGGGACGACATCCGACCCATCGTGCTCGGCGCGCCGTCGGACCTCCTGCTCATCCTCGACTGCTGCGCGGCGGGCGGCGCCAACGCGTCGTCGTTCAACTGGAAGCCGCCGCCGGCCGCCGAGGGCTACACCAAGCACCTGTTCGCGGCGTGCGGGTTCGAGTCGAGCACGTCGGACGACATGACGGCCGCCATGTGCCAGGTGCTGGACGGGTGGAGCATGGGCGGCGGCGATCCGCTGCTCGAGGGCGGCGGCGGGGGCGGGAAGAAGGGGATCCTCAAGGGGGGAGGCGGCGGCGCGGGGTCCGCGCTGACGACGAAGCGGCTGCATCAGATTATGGAGGACAGGTTGCAGAAGGAGTCGGTGGGGAGTCAGCCGATCTTTAAGCAGTTGCTGCCGCATGATCCGGAGCAGTACATTACGCTGCCGAACTTGAGGGTGGAGAGGGAGAGGGAGGAGATGGGGCGGGGGGCGGTGGTGAATGTTGGGGGGAGGAGGGGGAGGGGGAGGGGGTATTTTGTTGGATGAGAGGGGTATAGAGGGCATGGGCACTTGGCGTCTTGTGTTGAGGGTATGGTTGGTATTTTTTGGGGGGGGGAGAAGGGATTGGGGATGGCGTCTTTTGGCTCCGGCTTTTCGGTCACGGAACTTGGAACAGATTCACGAATCTTGGAACAGATCAAGGATGAGGGAACAGTCTCATTTTCACGGTCATGGGCAGACTTTGTATGGATATATAGCAACTTGGATAGGTACTTGGCCCGCTGCCTGGTCTTTTTTCGCTCCCCTGACGACCTTGGGACTTCTTCATGGGAGACGGGGAAGCAGCACATATCTTCATCATACCTTTCCATTCCCGAGTTTCCCAATCCTTCAGAGAGCCAACTCGCCATCATCCTCGACGCCCTGGTTCACCCTCTGCTCCTCTCGCGCAACCGAGCTCATGGTAAGTGCGGGTCCCCCGCAGAGCGCCGACGACGCGGGTACAGCGCGGATGACGCGCCGCGGGTGCTGTTAGCGGCCGAGGTGCACCGGTCGGTGACTTCAGGGCGACGGGCGTCGCCAACAAAGGCGGGGGGGCGGCGACCTACGGGGTTCTTTTGCCGGGGGGCGCATTGGCGGTGGAGTTTGCAGAGGGAGAGGCCCGAGAGGGGCATGCCGGGGAGGGCGGATGATTTGTGCGGGGCGGACAGGCCCGGGAGGGAACTATTCCATGCGTTCCTGGGCAGGAACGATAGAAGGATTGGGACCTGTATTTAGTAGCGCTTTGGCGGCCAGTGGGCCATTCTTGGCCCACCCGCAACAGAACCCTGGTGTCTGGACGTCTTCACCCCGCCCCTACTTCTACTTTTATCTTCTTCTTCAACCTTAACCTCGCTCCTGTCTGCAAAGCAAGCCAACCCGGCCACCCAGCATCCGCATCGCAGAAACGGGGATTGCAGAGGACTGGAATCGCCATGGAGGAGGACCCTCTCCCCGAGTTCACCCGCCACTCGGCCCGGGGCTGTTTCCTGTGCGGCCAGGAAGTTGGCGGCAGCGAAACAATCGAGGAAGACGGCGCCGCTAGCTGGATGAGGGTCTTCCGCCTAGGTAGGTCTACCGTCTATTCTCTTCAACCCGTTTCATTGCCCCTCTGACTCCTACAGTATATCTCCACCCCGACGGCGAGGCTCGGGTTTCGGGCATGGCCCGAAGAGACTGGGAGCAGTACGAGGATGAGATCTACAGTGCGCCAGAGAAGTACGAGGACCTTGGCAGTTCCTCGGGCCCTCACGATGTTGTTGCCTTCATCCAGCCAACATCAAACGACTCCAATCCACCTTTGCCCTGGTTAACAATGTCAGCGGAGCATAACAACTTCCCGATCCACGGCGCTTGTTGGGCACTGCTTGAGAAGCTCTACCGTCCCCTTCCCGTCCCAACCCGCAGGGTCTGGGACGTCCTCATGTCCATGGCCACATATGGCCCAGGTCTCCCGTCTTGGGGCCATGAATACGTCCTTGAGCAACTTGTCCAGCCTTGCTACCCTCAGTATCCATGGAGACCTCGCGACATCTACGGCCGCCTGCCGCCTCGAGGCGACGAGGACGCCAGTCCACACCGGGTGGCGCGCGAGTTTGCCAGTCTAGCAGCTCCACCCGACCCGCCGGGAGCTGAATGCGTCTTCCAGTCCTCGGCAGACCCAAAAGACGACATCTTCTTCCGACTCCCTTCCGAGATCCGGCTAGAGATTGCCATCCTGCTGAGCGTCAAGGATGCTCTCCACGGTCTGCGACGGGCTTCCAAGGCCTTCTCGTTTCTCTTTCACGACCAGCTGTTCTGGGCCTCCCGCTTCCGCTCCCTCCACGGAGAGCGCAGCTGGCTGTTGGGAGCCGAAAGGAAAGTCTCGCGCAAGATAACCACCGCCAAGGGTGGAATGGACTGGAGACGGCTCTTTCGACAAACCCGCGACGTAGAGCTCGGACCTGGCTTGAGCAATCTGCGACGTATTTGGGGTCTCGCCCAGAAGCTTCGGGTAGTCCTCGATCTTGAATTCTGCGGCGGCAGTGAGGCTACTGCCCCCTGGCAGGGCAAGGTATCTTGGGCCGAACCGATTGCCGAGTCGTGTATTCAGGCCGATAGGACGAAAGAACTGAACGCGATACAGTGGCGCGATGAAGTGGAGCATCCCTCGGTCGAACTTGAAGACTTGGAGACTTGGCAAAAGATGCACAGCCGTGTCGTCTATCTCCCAGACGACGTTGACCGTCTGTCATTTTCCTTTGTCATGGTCGGCCGAGAGAGGTATCTGGCCGGCATAATGTTCCACTCGAGAGCCACCGGGGAGATTCTCCGGCTTGGGTACAAGAACCCCTCCGAGCCACCCGAGGCAGTTGACATCAAAGGCGAGTTTTGCGGCTTCGAGTTGGCGGTCGGGAGCCGTGGGATATGTCAACTCTCGTGCAAGGACAGCGACAAAAGTGCCGTGGCCGACTGGGTCGGCGGTGTACCATTTCCTTCATTTGATTGCCCGATAACAACACGATTGGTTTGCAGGGCGGGGACCAAGATTTTGGCCATGAAGGCAAAATTCGATGTAAGTGTCAACAACCCGAAAACGTGGACCCCTTGTGGACATGAACCTAACCACGCCGAGCAGGGCTTGCGAATCATCAAGCTTTCCCTGGCAAGCGAGCACACGGTACGACGCTGGTCTAAGGAGTACCCCTACGAATTTGATGGGGGCTTTGATTTGTGGAATCACGGGATCTGGCATTCCAACGAGGACGAGGACGCCCAGGATCTCCAGATCTGGGACGACTACACACTCCACGCCGGCCGTCTTTGTCAAGGATACAAGCCACTCACTTGGGTCAACTTCGGCGGTCAGGTCGGTATTTCTCTCAAACAAATAACCAAGGTGTCCGTCCTTTTACACGGAAAGTACAGTCCCCGTCAGTTCACCATCATGTTTACCTACGGCAACGACGCAGTCGATGGGAACAAGCGCCGCGTTATGCTTTCCACTCGCGCCATTGACCACCCCGAGCTGGAAGAGCCATTCGAAGACTTTCTCATCGATGGCCCTGGTGGAGAGTTTATTACCAACATCGGGATGATCAATTACTTTTCCGACGGATATGTGCACTCGACAGATCTTCGGCGGGACTTTGAACAAAACGGATTTCCCGTGGGGATAGAGGCAAGTCGACGAAGCCCATGCTCGACTCCTCTAACATATAGACCCTGCCCCTTGACCGCTCGCTGACAGCTTACACTCGACGCACAGGTGAAGACGAATCAGGGAAGATCAAAAGCCTTTACTATCAAGAGCCACATTGTCCGCTCTGGTCCCCCCGAAACCTTCTTCCTCGCTCCGCCGGATAACGAGGTTCCGATCATGGGCTTGTACGCTGGGGAGGTAAGTTTACGGTCTTTCTCGACCAGTCCAGCCTGGTATTACATGCTGACTTTGTGCGTACCGCCGGTAGATCGGCCAGGGACTGGGGTTCCAGCTCGGCGTGTTCGGGCTGGATGTTACAGACACCGACGTCACTCCAGACTTGGTTTGAACTTGACCGTGCTGTCGTGGCCATCACTCTCATTGGCGCAGGGTTTGGGTCGGGATGCCGGAGACCAGTACCTGTCCATGGCCGACAGACCCAGGGACAGAAATATATACACAGAATACACTCAATGCACCACCATTTCATCTCCCTTGGTACACTTGGCGGATGCAATGAGGCACGGAGCAACGGCCTCCGCCCTCCTCTGGTAGGGGGGAATAATGCGATTGCGATTCATCAAACACGCTCCATCCCGTGTGGCGCAATTGGCTAGCGCGTCAGACTGTTATGATTCTCGAATCTTGCGATCTGGAGGCTGAAAGTTCGAGCCTTTCCATGGGAGTGTGACTTTTCTTTTTGCAGCATGTACTGGATGCACGCAGCTCTCATTTTGCAGAAACACTTGCTTTTTGGGTGTGGTTGAAAGGTTGCAATTATACATCAAGGAAATGCCTCTCCCTTACCAGACATATTCCCAAGTGGGTCTGGTGGAGTTGAACCATCGACGTCCCCCTCGCCATAGTTTTTGTTCATCCAAAACATCCCCCCTCAAAAATTGACATCAGTGCCGGCCCATGGACACTGCCAGACCAGCCAGCTCGGTAGGTAGGCATTTAGTGCCGTAGCAGTTGTACCACATCACCTTTTTCCCACAGTCGTTGCCACATGTGACACATCAACCTCGACAACAAACATCGGCTGCCCCCCAACCGCCTCCTTCACCACCCTCGCTGTCAACCACTCCTTCATCCTCCCCTTGCCATCGTTTTTTCTCAGCACCTGCCCCCTCACGACTCCATCCACCTCCAAATTCACATCCAACCTCCCCTCCTCCAGCACGCAGTCCAGCGTCATCTCCGGCTCCACCCTGTGATCAAACACCAGCCGGCATCGAAACACGCGCACCCCCTGCGTCAGAAACACCTCCCTTCGCGCGTCCCAGTGCCCGACGGGCTCGATCCCGGCGGCGCCGCGCCGCAGCACGAACCCGGCGCGCTCGAGAGCTGTGCGCGCCCGAAACATATCGATGGCGTCGCGGGAGCTGGAGGATCCGAGCACCATCGACAGGACCGGGGAGACCATCTTGCTGATGTAGAATGTGCGGCCTTTGAACTCGGGGATGTAGTAGCCGGTTTCCCGGGCGAGCCTGTCCGGCAGCACGCGCGTGTATATGTCGCAGCCATGCTTGCGGAGGTAGATCCCGACGTCCCGCAGGTTGTCGCCGGGGTCTTCGTTGCCAGTCGAGGTGGCCTGATAGCAGCGGAGTTTGAGGATGTAGTAGTAGAACTCGCCTCCCGAGCTGGGGTCAGAGGCCCAGAGGCTCCCGCCCGACACGGGCGTGACGCGGAGCCCTTTGGAGGTGACGGCCACCTCGTCGTTGTAGATGGGATCTTCCCACAGCCATATTTTGCCCGAGTCGGCAAACGCCTGCGGCGAGAGGGCGAGGACGCCGACGTATTTCTGCGTCCGCGCGCTGGTGGGCATGCGCCAGGCCAGCAGCGACAGGTCGTTGGTCTCCTTGAGGATCTCCTCCTGCAGGCGAATAAAGGCCTTGGTGCCGCCCTCGCCGTAGAGCAGGGGGATCTGCACGTGGAAGAGGCCGAGGAGGCAGTAGGCGAGGTCCTCGGCGCGCGTGGTCTGGCGGGCGGCGGCCCACGACATGCGCTGCGCGACGGAGACGATGTCGACGGAGAACTTGTTGGTGAGCACGTGCGTCGAGATGCCGGTGATTTCCGAGAGCTCGGGGGCGAGGGTGGATTTCTCGCCCTGGAACTGCCACGTCGAGTTGTAGAAGCCGAGGCGGCGGGGCGCGATGAGTTCTTGGAGGGTCCACCCGCGCGTGAACCAACGGCAGCGGGAGAGGTTGTCGATGCGTTGCTGGCGGGAGAGGTGGATGGTGGGGCGGGAGGGGGAGGGGGTTTGACGCCGGACTTCTTCGCGGTGTCGCGGGGTGGTGAGGAAGGTGGAGGAGGAAGAGGAGTCTCGTTTGTGGGTCTTGTTGCGATAGGCTTCCGGCTCGTTTTTGTCGCTGGCTTCGGTGCGAGTGTCGCTTTCCATGTCCCAGTTGATGGTACCGTCCTTGGCGTCGCCGGGTCCCGGACTGAGCTCATCTTTCCTCCTTTCGCCGTGGCGGGCATTCTCGCGACGTTCTCGAGACCTCGAGCTATCCTCGTCGTCCCTTTGTTCCATTTCTTTCTCTCTCTTTCTCCGCGCCTCTTCTTCCTGCTTTCGGTCCCTTCCCCCCTCATGGCGCCTGCGAGTCCCCCCGACCAGGTCCGACAGATAGGCGAAGCACACGGCGGACTCGGCATACCACCGAAACATGCTGTTGATGGCCTCGGTCAGCTCGGCGCTGCTGCTCTTGTCGATACAGCACGTGTCGACCCAGGCCCATTCAATCTTGGAGTGCTGCGCGAGCTGGCATGTCCTGCGGATTTTCTCGAAGCCCTTGAGCTTGGTCAGCTCCTCGCGGGGCAGCTGCATGAACTGCTGGAACGTGACCTCCTCTTCTTCCCATGTGTGCGAGAGGATGGCATAGCGCGGCGTGTCGTCGCCCCAGAACTCGCGGAGGGCGAGGGTGCTGGTGTTGATGAGGCGCATCTTGGATCAGTGGTTGAATTTCTGGGTCTCTGATGGATGTCGAACGCTGGGAATGGAAGACTTTTATGATTGGGTTCCTCGACTCTGTTGGTGATGCGATGCGACATGGAAGTCTTGCTGCGCCTCAGCCCTTTGCATCATGGCGGCATCGTCCGAGGCCATCGTCCGAGGCAGTGCAACTTTCCGACCGGGGTCGATTCTCGCAGCGAGGATGCCATGTTGAGTAAGACGTTTCTGCCTGGCAATACTCCCGGGCTGACAAATTGCCCGGCACAGTTGGTGGTGATGTCTCGGAGGTTGGTGACACGATGCAAGAAGTTGAATGAAGGTTGTGGGGTGTTGGGGAAATGAATTGGGGGATCAGGTCTTCGACGCTGTCGTTTCCCCGCCAGCCTGCCAAGACCGCTGTATGTTGTGAGTTTCAGGGGGTCGGACAGGGGGAATGACATGAACCAGACATGGACAACATTTTCCAGACCAGCACTACAAGATCAGCCACAGTCGACCGAATAATGACTATTTCATTTTGTGAGTTCACGGGATCACTGGTGCGGCATTTGATTTCAGAATTGGATGTCACGGGAAAGTGTCTCAGATTTAAGGGGGCAATTGTGGTCACATTTGGCTGTCAAGAATGATACGTTTTTTGGGTAAGGTTTTTTTTTTGGTATTTATGTGTGTGTCCCAGATCCGAGTGTACGAAAAAGCAAAGACAAAGGAAAATCCGAATTAGCATCTGGGCTGGGTGAGTTGGTAGCCACCCATCGATCCGTGATGACTCTCTGCACCACAGTTCCAGCCCCTGGATGCCTGGGGGACAAATGCAGGAACGGAAGGGTGACCGAGAGTGCCAGTCTGGTGGCTACTGTTCCAGTTCCTGGAATTGTTGAGCAGAAAGGGATGAATGGGAGACTCGGAGATAGCCCCATAATTCTTCCAGTTTCTCGACTGCTGGTTCCTGTTAGTATCACGACTGGCAGGGTACCCATTAGTCCGTTGTCCCGTGCGTGCGGTGATGCCACCCTGGGGGTGAGGATATGCATTTGACGATGCATGTGCTGTAGAAGAAATGGTTGGTTAGCATCAACAGCACAAGGCTGCCATCGGTCGAACAATATACTAACCTGTCAGGATCGTCTTCTTGTCCACGGAATAGGCCTCCACTCCGCCGCAAAGCCAGTATTCCGACGTGACCGGCTCCTCACCGGGGGGCACGTATTTGCGGTTCGAGGGATCAGCCATCTTCGTAACCTTGGTGGGGATGCGTCCATGGTCGCTTGGGTCCTTGTCGAGAAAGATGTGCCCTTGAATGTGGGTCTTCTGGAGGCCGTTGCCCATGTAGACGGTCAAGTGAAGATCAGAGTTAATGAGTGTCTTCATAGGTTGACCGGTAGCTTGGTTGATTCTTGTCGTGCCGCGGCCCGACAATGTTCTCTCAAACTGGCGTTTATGGGGTTCCTTGCGGATGATGACGCAAGGAAACCCCATGGCAATGGCTTCTTCTTTGGCGACCTTGGTGATCTGGTCAAGAATACCGGGGGTTCGACGTTGCTCCTTACCAAATTGGCAGATCCAAATCACCAATGGATCTTCCTTTGTCCGAGATCCAACCTGGTAGGTAGACTGGGCGGGTTTGCCGGCGGCGTGATCCCATGCTTGTTTGCCGTTGGTTACTGGGGCGATAATCTCCATGCCTTCCACCCATCTTGTCATGGGAGTCACCGGAGGACCGGGGATTGGGGCTCCAACCAGAGGGTTGCCGTTGTTAGACAGAAGTGGGGGTCTGCCTGTGCCCTGGCCTTGGCCCTGCCAGCCACCGCGTGTCCCCGCGTTGAGTCTGGTGTTGTTGCCCCTGCCGGCACCCCTGCCGGCATTGGTCTGCCAATTAAATTGTGACATGGTAGAGAGGGAAAGGTGAAGGGTTTTGGAAGTGGGAGGCTTCGTCGTGGATGTTGAATGAAGATGCTGAGAGTATGTTGTTGAGTTGGATGAGGGTCAGGCGTGGTCTGCAGTCAGAGGGGATATAGCAACTATCTATACCGAGGACCCCTAGGCTCTTATAGGATATTCCATGCCGAGTCTTTAGTGAATATGATGGGGGTAAAGAAGAAACAACGAGGTTGTCCCTCGAGTCGAGTGAATTTCAATGGGTGTGATTATACTTAGCACTCTATGTTTGTTGTCAATGCCGTTGTGAGACCGCCGCTGTGGTTCATGCTCCCCCGAAAACACGGGCATTGTATTTTCTTGGTACCTTGCAGCATTCACCGGAGATGAGACTTCCCTTCATCGAGATAGAGCCAAAAAGGACGGCAAGGGCGTTGTCATATGAATAGACTTGTTTCAACCTCGATCTGTTCTTTCATCGGCATTGTTTAGCATTCTTTGTCATTGGGAACAATTCACCTTAAATGTTTTAATTTCCGACCGTGGCCTCCTGGCCTCGAACAAGGGACGAAACACAGCACTCGTCCTGTCTTTCATCCCATGTCTTCGTTGTCAAAGGTCCAGAGCATCCGTCCTCGAACAACCCCACCCTCTTTTCCTGGCCCTCGCTTCCATAAAAAACAAGAACCCGCCGCTTCTCTCCATCTCAGCCAGACCATTCCCGTCAATCTTCACTCGCGCCTTCTTCTCCATATCAAGGCCGGCAGAAACTACCACCTACCATTTACTTGCACTCGACACCAGTGACCAAGCCGGACTTGCCACCCCAACAAAACACAAACCCTTCCCAACGCA